GTGCAGCGGAAAGGGGTGCAAATTTGAATCTCTGCTGAATACGGAAAACGTGAATTGCTGTCATACATAGAGGCGGTGGATGACAGCTACATCGATGCTAATAATAACCAAAGCATATTCAAAGAGCCTCGACTACATATCACAGACAAAATTACACAACAACGCTTTTGCATTGATTCGGGTACAGTTATATTACTTCTACTGTCATCAATTTTATGTAATGAGCAACCAAAAACAGATTCAGTACTCTTTGCTGCAAATTTATCACCAATCGACACTTACGGTACTCATGTACTGTTTTCAATCTTTAATATTACAAGAGAGTTAACATGTCTATTTATCATTGCCGACGTGAATACTCCAATTGTGGGTGCAGATTTCCTTTCTCACTATGGTTTGCTTATTGACTTCAAGAATAAACGACTCATCGATTCAGAGACTTAGATTTCGACAGTAGGAGACACTTGTGATCCTCTCTACTTTAATATCTCGACGATTGGCCGAAATCATGTCTGCACAGAATTGCTCAAAGAATTCATTCAAATAGCTAGTCCTACACAAAGAAACATGAGAAAAGCTAACTCAGTATTTGCTCATAAAATAATAACAAATGGACCACCTGTAACTGAACGATTCAGAAAAGAACAGGTGACGAAGCCAAAGCTGCAAAATCTGAAATCCAATATATATTATCTATAGGAAAATTAAAACCTGTGTGTAGCCCGTGGGCAAGCCCCATACAGGTAGTACAAAAGAAAACAGATGAATTTTGGTGAACCTGTGGAGACTACAGGAAGCTAGATGCTGTTACAGAGCCTGATAAATACTTATCATCACAAATTGTAAGCCTCTTCCCTCTTCTTCACAAAAAAAACTGTCTTTACCACATTGGATTTTGAAAAAGCTCACCACCAAATCCTGATGCATCTTGATGCCATTAAGAAGACGGCAATTACTATACCATGAGGTTTATATGAATATTTAGTGATGCAATTTGGCTTAAAAATGCCTCCCAAACATTCCAAATATTCATGGATGAAGTATTTCGGGGACTAGATTGTACTTTTGTGTACATTGACGACATCTTGATCATGTCAGAGGATGAAAACTGGAAATGATACATTAGTATCGAAGAAGCATTCCTGGCATGACTCATCTCCAAGCACTTTTGGATAAATACTCTACATCATGCAAGAAAAACGACGAAACAAAAGTCGTGTGGACTAAAGACGCTAAAGAATCATTTGAAACTGTCGAAGAAAAACTTAAAAATGTAACAAAACTGGTATTTCCTATAAACAATGCACCATTAATACTCACTACTGATGCTTCTACTATATGTATCAGCGCAGCCTTAGAACAATTTTAAGATGGAATTTGTAAGCTACTGGGTTTCTATCCAAAAAAATTGACAGACACAGAAACACGATATAGTACTTACGATAGAAAGCTCTTCGCCGCAATGAAACACTTCCAGTATCTTTTAAAGTGCATAGAATTCAAAATAAGAACGGATCATAAACCTCTAACATATTCATTGAAGCAAAAACTAAGCAAAACTTCTGAAAGACAATTACAACAGCTAGATTACATATCACAATTTTCTCCAAGATTTAATTGAAAACCTCTTGGGAATCAAACTGCAAGAAATAACAATTGACGACAATACAATAATTTACTGTGATATTATACAACATAGGTCGTCCATACTTACCTAAAAGTCTTCAAAAAAAGCATTCGATACAATTCACAATTTCTTACTTTCTAGTCGAAAGGTAACGTCTCTACAGCTACAAGAAAAATCTGTATGGCCGGGAATCAAAAAAGATGCAATGAAGTAGGCTAAAGAGTGTATGGCATGTCAAAAAGCTAAGGTCTATCGACACAATCAAACAAAGTCAAACCACATTGATGTTCTAGACACGAGATTCAGCTATATACACGTTGACATCATTCATCTACCAAAAGTTAAAAGTTACAAATACTGCCTGGCAATTATGGATCGCTTTATCAGATGTCCTGTAACCGTTCCAACAAAGGACATATCAGCTGAAACAATTACAACAACACTAGTTGACAACTGGATATCTCACTTCGGGACTCCAATTACAATAACTTCAAATCAAGGTAGTCAATTTGTATGTACATCTCTTTCCTCTGGTATTGCCTTAATCCGTTCTTTTGGAGATTGGAAACCTTTGGTGTTATTTACATATACTAAGTAGGTAACTTCTCTTTTACCCAGTGAGCACTTTCCGACGTTTATCTTTAGATGGCGTGACTTTAACCTTTCAAGGACTGTTCTTAGATGTTTTTTTTTTTATTGAAAAGCAACTGAAGCTCCAGTGAAAGCTCATATTATCTGCATTGTAGTGTATAAATTAAAAAAATTATTATTATTAAATTTAGACTATTTATTATTAACAATCGAAAAATTTAGTTAAAAACAGTAAACAAATAATAATTTACATGAAAATCAAGTGATGGTCTTTTCGCAAAATACAAAAAAAAATATCAGTGCTCTGCAGTGGTCTAGGTGCGACTCGAAAGGTCCACACGACAAACTTCCCATTGGAAAAAACGAAAAAACAATTCGAATAGAACCCGTTTCCATTCTTTATAACAAATGGAATTGTTAAAAACGAAATGAGTCTGTTTTTATTCATTTGATATGATAATTACTTTATTTCAGTAAAAGGAAAAATTGTGCTTTAGAAGAATTCGAATATACCTCATAGATCCTTTTTTTCATTATTTACAACAAATTTCATTGTTATACACGGAAAAAGTATGTTTTCATCTATGTCATACGGTTGGTAACATTTTTTTAGTAAAAGAAAAAATTATGCGTTAAAAGTACTCATATATATAGAAAAGGTCCCTATTTTCATTGTTTATAACAATTTAAAACTTATTATTTAAATATTACTATGATCAATAAACACTTGTTAGTAACAATGTTCAATTGTTATGAACACAATTCCATATTATTGACAAGTATTATTGACTATTATAGCGTCTTTCATGCTGTTTTCTCAATCCTGACACGAGTTTAAAATTCTTTCATTGCTGATTTTGTTTTTTAAAATTTTTTTTTTCGATGAAATATTGTCACTATATTTTCATACAAGTATTCTAATCATTGAATATTTATATTTTTTTTAAAGATTTCGAAATTTTGTCTAAAAAATGGTATAATTTATAAATTGAGAAATTCAGGTCATTTTACATTTTTGCTAGTTGTTTGGTTCTGCAAAAATAATGGCTGAACCGATTTTGCTGAATATCTAATTAGTTCTAAGTTACATAATTACGCGTTAAATGCAATTGGTCCCACATCGATATCATTTTTTGTTCTCGAGATAATCGAGGCGAAAAATAATTCCGAACGCACATACGTACATACGCATACACAGACGTCCACTGGAAAACGATCGTATTCGACTCTGGGAACCTTAAAACGTGGAGATATGTCAAAATTCGGGATTCGCAAAATCGGACCCATTACTATAACTTCCCACTGGAAAGTTAATAAAGGTGATCGGTTACGGGCACACTGCATACAACATACAAAATTAAGAATTCACTGAAAACAAAATCTGTTATGACAGGAGAACGCCTGATTGAATATGTTTAGTAAATGTATTTTTAAAAATGTATGTTGATTGATGTCCCTTCGTGGAAGGGTGGCGACATCTTTATCGCTGGTAAGTTCGAGAGCTGCACTTACACCTTCATCTACGGGAGAAATTCCTGAGTAATGTTACAAATACTCCGATTACCAGCCACTACGACCAACGATAAGGTAGAAGTCCACATGACCTTCAGAGGTCAAACACCAGAGGAGACACTAGTACTGACAAAGCGGCGCTGCGACGGCAGAATGGGCGGAGCCTCTCGAAGGAAGGGGTCCTGACAACGACGCCGGAAGCACACCGCGGCGACTGAGAGCCGTACTGAGAAGAGTGTTCCTTAGATGCTCTTCATGTGCTCTTGTACGCTTACGCAGTAGTAAAAAACATGGTAGAAGGGGTAGAAAATCAGTGGTGGGGAGCCCGAAAGCATTGAAGCAACTGAGGAACTCTTTTCTCAGTTCGACTATAGTTGGGCTGACGCCGTCATCAAGTCAAGGCAGAAGTACATTTCGCTCTTCGTGAGCTGTTTGTTGAGTTGATACTGTACCGGAAGTTAGATCAAGAACTGGAAAACGCGATCGTGGTATTGTGACTTCTGAAGAAATAGCCGTCCCAGAAGCTAGAGGAGATATTGAACCACCGTACACTGCAGTGAAGGACACCGGGATAGTCCAACGTGGGTCTACAACATCCTGACGCAACGTAAAACCACGCCAGCAGTCCCAGGAAGGAGTCAACAACACTTGAAGAAGTTCCAGCACCAAGGTCGATGAGCTCGCTTCAGATTATCTGTCAAGAGCATCGGGTCAAGCCACGGTGCGCCGCTTAAGAAACATTGTAAAATATTTCACTTGTAACTTCTTATATTACTTGTTTAATTGTTGCACTCCGTCCCGTACCCGAGTCGCATCTTAATTTGGTACTGATAATTATTCCACTCTGGAAGCAAGTTCGTAAATACGCTGAGCCGCTTCAGGTCAGGGGAGAAAAATCCCGCACGTGTTTGTAAAAGAATTCTTGTAATCAAGTTATTATCATACATACATGTGTGGACGCAATTATTCTGGGTAACCCCCCTCGTGTATCTATTTGCATGGAATTCCAGGGATTGGAGGATTTCCTGAAGGACGCCTCTCTAATTGCCAAGAGAACTGAGGTCCTTACCCAAAAACTCATCAACTCACACTTTGAATTGATCGTCGCAGGAGTTTAAGGACTTAACTGTGTAAATATCGTGTTATAATTTTCTAGAATAATAAATGAAAACTTGTACAATCATCAAGTGATTACGGATTACTGAATAACGGTTGATAACAACCAAAAATTACTTGACAATTGTGCCCGATCACAAAGTTGAAAAAGAAATTAACGTAAACTGAAACAAAATAGAATGTTATTAACTCAAAAAATACAATATGAGATTCGTTACATACATAAAGTATTAAAACGTACTTATGAAAATAGTTATGAATCATTCTTCTCTGCTGATTCTGCACAAACGGCTGATGAGTAGCAGGAATCCTGTCATAGCCTCTTTGATTTATAAGTGGGGGAGGAATAGCTTGTCGAGTAACATTATACAACACAGCTGATGCAATTATTGCTGTCAATGTTGACTCTGGTTTAAAAAATCTGGAACCAATGGTGAGAACAGCAAACATACGCCCCCAAACGCCAAAACACCTTTCGACCATCGCTCGAGTTCGAATTTGGGATTCATTATAATGAATTTCCGCTCGAGTTGTCGGATTTTGTAATGGTGACATTATAAATGGCACTTGAGAATATGCAGAATCACCGACTAATAACGAATTATCGAATTCACCATTTTCGAATCTTCTTTTTATTCTCGAATTGTCAAATACAGTAGCATCGTGCGCCGATCCTGGCCATCGTGCTACAATATCCATGATCTCCAACCTAGAGTTGACTATCACCTGGGTGTTGATAGAAAAAATGATTTTCTATTTCGAAACAACTCTGCATGATCTCCTCCTGTCATATTGACGTATTAGGTTCCATTATTTTTCAGAATTGTTACAAATTATTTACTTATAACAAAATGATTCAGCATACATACCATACGATTGGACCCGAACGTGAACGCAATCATTAGCACCCAATACACGAGGAAAAGCAGCTCGATTGAAATTTCGACAGTGGACAGCTCTAATTTCTTGACGAGGAGGCATGTAGATGTAACGCTCTCTCAATCCAGCGATTCCTTCTGACACTCGGTGTATTATCCGCCAAACACTAGTTTTACTTATGCCCGTGAAGTCACCTACAGTGATATAAAATGATCCAGTAGCTAGGAACCGCATAGTCACGAGCATCTGGATAATTGCTGGAATTGCATTATTTCTGAAAATTGAAATGAATATCAAATAATGTAAATAAAATTGAAATGAACCTTTATTATTAATGTGTATGTAATATCAGATTTTTTATATACTTTTCGGTGTCGTGAGAAATGACAGCTTCTATTTGGTCAAAAACTTTTGTTGTCATCGCTTTTGTTAAGCGAAATCTTTCAACAAAATCATCATCGTCGAAAAAATCGAACCAATTTATTCGAGAACGAATGATACCAGGTCTTCTGACAATGTCATCATCGTCGTCATCAAAGAGAAGCAGTAGCATAAAATTATATATTGTCCTGAGCAAATACATTATATTGTATACATTTTATTTGTAATAAGAAAAAAATTATAAAAAATTACGTTTACATTGATAACTGTGGAAAAAAATAAGTTCATAACATTACTTTTTTTGATATTTGCCTTTATCTCATTTTCACTGCTTATTGCATACTTTTTATTGATTAATTCAATTGTTTACATACTGTATGCAATAATTATGAATAAGATTAGGTTTAATTTAAATAAAAAGATATTATAAATGACAAATATTTACCTGTTCATTCTAATATTCGTTTAAACTCACAATTATACAATAAACTTTATGCCGGTCAACCATGTGTACTTTCTGTTTTGGTAATAAAAAATAGTTTGTCATTTACCCGCCAGGTGGCGCTAAAGACAACTTCTTCTTTTTTTCAATTTTAAGTTGGTATACAATAACCCGAGGTTATTGATGAAACTCGCCCTAAATAGTGTGTACTACAGGTAGTATAAAGTAATTTCAAGCATAATTTAAGTGAAATTGTATAAATTATTATTAATTTCAGGCCGTATAGGGGACGGCGGAGTGTGGTAGTACACTTGTACAGATTGTAAATAGTGTGTACTACAGGTAGTATAAAGTAATTTCAATCACAATGTGAATGGAATTGTATAAATTATTATTTTTTTTATATATCTGTCGCTTCTCCTTATTTCGTATTCATATTCCACGTTGCTATTAGCTCACCGAAGCCGAACTTCGAGAAGCTCCACAACGTAAGTGAGAACGAATTTACACACACGCAGCTTTTCCAGGTTGAGATAATTCTAGGGAAGATTTCCAGCCCGAGTATCTTGGTTAAAAAATCATCCGAAATACCAAAGAAAGAAAACAAATAGTACAATAGTTCTTTTAGTAACAATAGTTCAGTTTGCATATACTATATATAACCTAAAGTTCAATAATTATTTCCATAAAAAAAGTCTGATTCTCTACCCTTCATGCTATTCAACAGTTACATCTATTTTTAAACCCCCTAAAATATTTTTCTTTCTTTTCTGGCGCGAAGCCATTTCCCGCCAGAACATCTCAATTGGCGCTCGAACTCCCTCGGAATCGAATTTTCTTCTTGAACTATTAATTAGAGATTATTAATAATTTGTATTTTTATTCTATGACTAATTTGATTTCTAATTTTCAAGAGATTTTTATATCAGTTGTATCTATATTCTTCCTCACTCGCCTCACGCTTTGTGAGATTAATAACTTTCATTTTTCAGCTAATATAAAACTTAAATTTTCTTTCTTTAATTGAATTCTTGGAAATTTCGAGAACCTTTGTTCTATTGGTGACGTGTTTATGAATGCGCGCATATCAACCGAGATTTCTATAGAATTGAACGCGAAGTTGGTTACGACGAAAAGATCTTAATCTCTACGCGTAAACAAGTCGAACGCGTGAAGAAAATTGGCGGCAAAACCCATTTGTGATCGTCATTTATCTATTTCTTAGTAATAAAATATTTATTTATTTCAATTATGTATCGTTGAATAAAATTTGAGTCCCTTAAAAATGTGAAAAATATCACTGATTTTTATACACGCTACAAAAAGACTCACAGACACCTGAGTCCATTGTTACGCATCGCCAAGTGCCCTAGAGTGTCTAGAGACAGACATTTTGTTCAGTAATTAATTACTGAATAGCTAACCTCGCTCAATTCAATAATTCAAATCTGGTCACCTGGCCGGTAACCAATCAGAACACTCATCACTCATCACCACGCCGAATTCCGGGCTTCACGATTTTTCTCGATGAAACTCGATTGTCGACGAGTTGTTGCTGAACCGCGATGATGATTACTTCTCAAGTAATCATCGAGATCATAATTAGTGCTCAACAATTAACTTCAGCAGCTCACTAAACTCATCTAGTGTTCAAGAAATTCATAACTTTTACTGTAGTCATAAATTCTGGACTCATCATTAACAACGCGGCCTTACTACCCACGTCGTAGTGCATTCAAACATTCATTCACTAGTGTACTATCAGTGCTCATCGTCTTTATAAACTCAAGTGAACTCATACACTCATTTACTTTCGAACTGTGATTATTGTTGCCTATTATTTAATAAAATTTATCAGTGTTGAATAAGTGTTGTACATTTTCGATCACGTTAACCCGGCATTTTACTCATCCTATATCATTATTATACATATTTATGGTCCTTCAAGTCGGATTAACTCGATCAATGGCGCAGTGATTTTAGTGCTCATGCACTCACCGAACTCTCTGTGCTCTTTGTTTCAAGACGTAAACGATACTTTGAGTCGCTGTCGCGCGCAAGTGCTGAGACATTCTTTACCAATAATACCCAGTTTTGTTTTGGTGCTTAGTGAGTATCATCAAACTTAACTTTATATCAGTGACACTCAATTCACACTTTATAGTGGTGCTTGTCTTAAACTGAAACTCAACCATTTTTATGTACAGTGACACTCATTTAAACTCATTAACAGTGGTGCTCATTATTTTCTAGACTCATTTTTATTTATTTTACTCACGATTAATTTTTTTTGACACATTATTGTAATAATTAGAGCTCATAGACTCATTATAATTATTTATTAATTTAATTATTATTTTTTTTGGACTCAATTTTCAATTTAACGGTGCTTTAGTAGGTGAACTCATCAACTATTTAAGATAGCAGAGTCGAAGAAAAGAGAACCTGAGACACCTGATGTGCCAGGAAATGCACTCAATCATCTAATCATCAGAGTCAAGAGCCCACGAGTAAATCAGACACTCACGACGAACCAGATACTGATGCTGGTCCATCACAGCAGCTCGGCACTGATGCTGGAGGCACAAAGAAGACCAAGAGCAGGCCTAAATCCCCTGTTTCCAAGGCCTCTTTACAGTCGGCTTCACTCATGTATCGCCATAAAATCAAATATAGACGACACAGGATCTTGTTAGAAGAGGCCAATAATTTAGAGACCTTTTTGAACTCATCACTCACAACCGCTGACTTGCTCGCCAAACAAGACGTCGTAGATACCTTTTGGTGTGACTTTATCGACGAGCACAATGCACTCATCAGTAACTGCACTCAAGAGTTCATGGAGTCTGACTATGTAAAAAAGGGGATTTACGAAACAGCACTCAGACACTACACTCAATGTCTTCAGATGATAAAGGAAGAATATCATATGCGCACTCAACATCTTCCACAGGCTCAGCACTCAATTGCTCAATCATTGCTCTAGGATAATTTTCCGGAGATTACCATCTCTGAGTTCAATGGGGAGTATAGTGACTGGAGGCCATTCCACGACTTGTTTGTCGCAATGGTCAAGGATCACCTCACGATGCCTGTCGTCAAGAAGATCTGATACTTGAAGAGTAGCCTGAAGGGCAAAGCACAGAGTTTGCTCACCTCTGTGCCTCCAACAGGCGAAATGTTCGAGTCAGCCTGGGAGACAGTGACCAAGCGTTATGAGAACAAGAAACTTCTCATAACTCCTCAAGTCGACCGACTTCTGAAGCTGCAACAACTCACCAGCAAGTCGGCTGACGCAGTCAATGGATTCATCAGCATACTTACTGACTTATTCAACGCACTCAAAGCTCTGGGCTCACCAGTACAGCACTGGGATCACCTATTGGTACCTCTCCTGACGCCCAAGCTTGATACGAGCACCAAAGAGGCTTGGGAGAATCGCAAGGTGCCTCGACGAAAATGCCGAGACTGTTACACAGTCTCCTGCACTCAACAACACTCATTTGCACTCTTGCGCCCTCACAAATTCAAATACTCAACACCATAACTCACATGCATTCATCAATGCAGATCATAGCCTATCAAACTCACCTAATGCTTCCTCTGAAAATACTCACTGCTCACAAATTCTCCTCGCAACCAGCGTAGCTAACCTTATCACTCCTGCTCACACTCATACCGTACGCATTCTCGTAGACCCATGTTCTGAAGTTTCTTTGGTTTCAGAAGCACTGATGAAGCGAGCCAAACTACCATGACAACGCTCATCGCTGTCAATCACTGGAGTAGGACCAGCGCAAGCTGGTCGGGCAAAGGGGAAAGCTGCACTCACACTAAGGTCCAGGTACTCAACAGACGCAGTCAACGTCGGCGCTCACATACTCAAGGATCGCACTGGGTTATTACCATCATTTTCTGGTATGGTTGGTCCACTGCCACAATTCGCGGATTCGCAGTTGGCCGATCCAGACTACATGGTAGCCAGACCTGTTGACATTATACTTGGCGCAGACGTTTATGGTCAGATAATTAAACCTGAGTTGAGATCTCAGGCACAAGAGGAAGTTCCTGTATCATCAGCCAACGAACTGACTACAGATGAAGCCGCTTGTGGAGCTCATTTCAAATCAACGCACTCAAGAGATCCAACAGGTCGTTACATAGTACGCCTGCCACTCATTTCATCACCCTCTCAACTTGGGGACTCATCACGAACTGCTCATCATTGTTTACAACATCTTTTACGAAGGTTGGACAAGAACTCAACCTATAAGGACATGTACTCATCGTTTCTCAAAGAATACGAGACACTTGGTCACATGAAAAAGATTTCAGATCAGTCAGTAGCTGGATTCATCAATAACAGTGGTGCTCTGGATGATCGTTCTAAGGGGATGACTTTGGCACATGGTGCTTCGGCTCCGGGAGGGTTGAGGGTTCCCAAGGAGTGCTTATCTAGTCACCTACCAACTCACCAGTCTACGGACAGTACTCAACACTCATTTTATTCGCCTCATCACGGTGTTCTTCGAGAAGATAGTAAAACTACCAAGTTGAGAGTGGTATTCAACGGATCTCGAAAAACTCAATCAGGAATTGCACTCAATGACATCCTTCACACTGGACCAAAACTACAGAAAGATATTATGGATGTTTTGTTGTGGATTCGTCGTCATAAATTCATCTTCTCAACTGACATCACTAAAATGTTTCGCCAGATCTCGGTGGATCAACGAGACTGGGATTTACAACGCATCTTTGGGTCGACGAACACAACAATCCAGCTCATGATCATCTCACTACTGTTACGTATGGAACTAGACGAGCTCCATATTTAGCAGGACGTGTTCACTTACAACTGGTAGAGGATGAAGGTCATAAATTCCCTTTTGCAATCAACCCACTCACACAGGGAAAGTACGTCGACGATATCTTCGGAGGCACCGAAACTCTTCCAGAGCTCCAAGAAACAGCAGACCGGGTGTCAAACCTCTGCATGGCGGGCGGGTTCCCGCTTGCAAAATGGACTAGCAATCACCTGAAACTCAACCAATGCGCTCAGGCAGAAGCAAAGGAAAAATCAAAACCTCATGCTTTCACTGATTCATCTGAAAGTGGCACAAAGGTCTTAGGACTAGATTGGTCACCAACATCTGATCAATTTTTCTTCATACTTAAGCCACCAACTGAAACTCGAAAACTCACCAAAAGACTCATCCTCTTAGAGATTGCTCAAATCTTTGATCCTCTTGGTTTAATCTCACCACTCACAATCCGTGCCAAAATATGCCTGTTTCGTTCTAAACTAATCTTCCAAAGTCAAGAATTGTAGTCAAACTGGCCAGTTATGATATTTGAAGAGAAGAAATTGACAGAGCTCGCTTTTTATGCATCTATCCTCGGCGACGTCCCACGGCAGAGGAGAACGAGTGTTGCAAATTAGGAGACTTCGTGGCTAATTGAAGAGACGTCTGATCGAATTTTTTTAACTAAGTTGATTGCGTGATTCGCGCTAATCATAATTTATGACAATAGGTTACACCTTACATTCATTCCCTTTTTGACTGAACTTCTGCAGGAAAGTCAAAACACATTTCTTTATGACAACTCTTCTTCATGATGAACTTAGACCCATAGATTGAAATCCAAGTTTGAAGTTCAGCGATGTAATGGTAAAGAGTCGACTGAATAGGGGGTTTGAATATTTGGTACTAGCCACTTGCCAGGTTATGTCTGATAACACTTTCCCTATGATTGAGATAATTCTTAGTTCAACTTCTATCTTTCTACTTTTTTAAGGGACAAGAAAGGGAATATTTATGATAATAATATTAGAATATTTCATCAACCAATCATAGAAAGGAAAAGAAAATTGAATGAATGTAACAAAAGTCGTGAAAATAATATTGTTCAGTCAACCGACTGACAGATTCCTTAACCTCTCTGATTGAGTGAAGTCTCGAGTCAATTTCATTGTGACAAAGCTCTACACAAAATTCTTATGGTAGTGCTGTAGAAAAATTCTAAGAGCCCCGCATCTATCCTTCAAATTCCTCCTCCACTAATTAACATGCAAATTACTATTTAGTAACTCAACGAGCCAATCACAGAGGAGTGACCAATCAAAATTTGGGGGTGATAGTCCAACTTTTCTTTTTAGACTTTCACCAGTTGCATTATATATCTTGAGGAGAAAGTACGCTTATTTTTGCTAAGAGTTTATACTTGAGAAAACAACAAGTTTATAAGCATCAATTAGTTTCGAGTGAGTTCAATATTATTGAGATAGTCATAAAGGGTTTAGGTGAACAATCGGTTCCAGCTCAAAGTACAATTTATTCAAGTCAAGCGTAAGTTTGCAAAGTGACGCCAAAACGCACGTGATTAAGAATCAGACATCTTGAGAGTGAATTATCTACACCAAAGCAAGTGTGATTTTTGAACCAAATACTAACTTGTGCAATAAAAAATAAATAGAGTAGTTTATTTATTTTAAAATTGATAAGTTACAATTTTTTGTGATCCTTCCTCATTCTTCCTCACATTCCAGCACTCGAGTTCATTTTCCATTACTGAGAAAAATTCTCTGAGCTGGATGTGAATACGGTTTGAGGAAAATCGCAGTGATTAAAACTGTTTTGAGTTCTCGTGAGAGAGTTAATTTTGTGCTGCTCAGGTGCCAAGTGGACACCGGTTTACAAGACTTTTTATGTGGCTGTGAGTCGTCATAGTCGTGAGCAGATATAGTGAGTGAATTTTCTACGAGTACATTATCTAAAATAAAGTACCTTCAAGATGGCAGCTCAATCAGAATATGAGAGTCAGCTGCAGCTCCAGAGATTACATTATTCCGTAATCAACATTAACTTTGAGGAGAAGCGGAGGACTTGGTGGCTAGTCAACCTCCGACAGACAAGTCATTCCAACCAGCGTGGGATCTACTGGTCAGAAGGTACGATAATCCCCGAGTTTTAATCAAAAAACATGTTGAGGAAATTATCAACTATCCGCGATTCACAGATGGATCAGCCACAGAGTTGAAGGGTCTTATTGCTACCATTGCTAGGTCTCTTAATGCACTCAAGGCGTTAGGATCACCAGTGAGTAACTCAGATCCGTTCTTTATTACCGTGACCCTCAATAAACTAAGTCCAAGCATGATGGCCAAATTGGAGACGAAGATGGGTCTCTCCAAAGAGTTCCCGCCTTATGATAAACTCCGAGACTTCCTAGAGATTACTGCTCTAGCCTTGGAGGGTTCTGAGCAAGTACAGAAAGAGTTACCTTATACGAGCAGACCATCTAGAGGTAAGACGTCGACGAGTGCAGCATTAGCTAAGGTGTTTAAGGAGGCGCTAGCAGAAGAGCTTGCAGCATTCTCAACTACGAGAAAGAAGCCTGCAGTGAGTTATACAGCTACTACATGATCGGGTACGCCAGTGGAGACGCACACAACGAGTGTGCTATGGGTCGCCAGAAGCACTTCATCCTCTGGTGTCAAAAGTTCAGAGCTCTTACGGTAGATAAGGAAATAAAGACCGTGAAGGAGCGACGCCTCTACTTCAACTGTCTTGGATGGCATAGGGTCCAAGATTGCATTAGCGAGAAAAGATGTCAGACGTGTGGGGCGATGCAAGGCGAGGGAACAGTGGAGAGCCTCCCAAGCAACTACGAGTGAATCATCTACTTCTATACAGAGCAGTGACTCTTGAGGACATCTGAGCGGGTCCTAAGTACACTTTCTTCAACCACTTTCGAGAATGAATCATCTACAGCGAATTATCTTGAGCGAACTGCTTAATGCAGACAACATCAAGAGAGAGTTGTCTACCAGTGAGTTGACGTACTGCTTCATCGCTGAACGAACTGAGAATGAATTATCTAATGCACGAAGCAATCTGCTTCATGCAGCAAACCCAGAGTCGAGAGCATCGAGTAAATTTTCTGAGAAAGCATTATCCATCGTCGAGAGAGACCTACATATTGCAGCACCAACTACCCATTGCTCTTATCCGGTATCTCTACGTCGAAACAGAGAAGAGAGACTGAGAAAGCCTCTGTCCTACTTGCCACAGGCAGAGTATTAGTTATTCATCCACAAAGGAAGCCTGTAGAAGCACGAGTATTGTTTGATCCTGGTTCTGAACTATCTTTAATCTCAGAGAAATTCTTCAAATCATTGAAAGTGTCAAAACAATCATCGAGTATCCCCCTGAAGGGCATTGGAAACTCTTCTGGTGGAATTACAAAAGGAGTTTGTTTACTAAAACTCCAATCAAGATATTCTGAGCTGTCTATACTTACGTAGACTTTCAATGTGAGTGAATTTACTTCCCAATTCCCTACCGAGAATCTTGAGATGGCCAGCTGGCCCCATCTAGATGGTCTGAATCTTGCTGATCCAGCATACAAGACTTTACAACCTATCGACATTTTGCTTGGTGCTATTCCAATGAGTGAGATCATGCTGTCTGGAGTTATCAAAGGAGATAGTGGAACTCCTATCGCTCAATCCACTATTTTTGGTTGGATAGCCTACGGTTCTGCACAATTGAAGCTCGGTGGAGATGTATCTCACTGTCGTCACTTAACATCTAATGAAGAATGGCGTTCTTTAATCAGTAAATTCTGGGCTCAAGAAAAAATTAGTGAGTCGACCGCATCTAAATTGAGTCCTGAAGAGCAACAATGTGAAGACCATTTCAAGAGAACACATACTAGAGATGAGACTAGTCGATATATTGTACGATTACCACTAAGAGCATTGCCTACTCTCCTTGGTGAGTTATCTAGTAAGGCAAAGAGGTGTGTTGAAACGTCTAGACATTAACCCAGAGTATGGTCAACTTTACTCTGAATTTATGAAGGAGTACGAGAATCTAGATCACATGAAAAGAGCTCCTACTACAATTTCTGAGTCACCAATCTACTTTATTCCTCATCATGCAGTTCTGAGAGGGCAGAGTACTACAACTAAGCTACGAGTTGTGTTCAACGGGTCCAGTAACACTATATCTGGCACCTCGTTGATCGACCTTTTTCACATTGGTTCAAAAATCCAACCAGATCTATCAGATGTGTTACTTGGGGTCAGAAGACATCGAGTTGTATTCACAACAGACATCACAAAGATGTTCCGTCAGATTAATGATGCTTCTTACCGTGCTGTGACAGTTCTGTTGCAACTAGCAGAGGATGAACGTGAGAAATTTGCAATGGCTGTCTAGCCTATTCTCAAGGGCTGCTACGTGGATGATATATATGAAGAAGGAGAGACAATTGTTGAAGCTATTTCTTCAGCTAATCCCCTTGCGAAATGGGCAAGCAATTCTTCTGAGGTACTAGCTACAATAGATCTTGAGAGTCAATCATCTCAGATTGAGATTCAAGAGAAGGAGAATTCAGTAAAAGTTCTCGGTCTTTCATGGAATCCCATGACTGACCAGTTTTTATTCAAATATTCTGAGTAATTATCTGACCAAGTTACTAAAAGAATTGTTCTATCTGAGATTTCCCGCCTATTTGATCCTCTGGGTTTTCTAGTTCCTATGCTAGTGAGAGCCAAAATGCTCATGCAAGAGCTCTAGTTAGAGAAAATTGATTAGGACGAGCTGTTATCTACTGAGTTGAGCCAAAAATGAAATAAATTCAAAGAGAATCTTTCCCGAGTCAACATCATCAGCATTCCTAGATGGTTGAATCTTTCTTCATCATCATCTGTTGAGATCCATGGATTTTCTGATGCCTCGCAACTTGCGATGGCTGCTGTGGTATTCCTGAAGGTTACTAACAAATCTGGAGAGTGCTCATCTACTATTGTCTGTACTAAGTCTTTAGTAGCTCCCTTGAAACCATCAACTATACCGAGACTCGAGTTAAATGCTGCAGTTTTACTCACTAAACTGGTCAGCTACGTGAAGAGAATTTTAGAGATAATTGACGTGCCCACACATCTATGGACTGATTCTTCAGTCACTTCAACATGGATCAAGAGCCTTCCTTCAAGATGGAAGGATTACGTGAGAAATAGAGATCGTGATGTAAGTTTTATGAGAATGGTAGAGGCAACACTAGAAATGATGTTTTATTCACAACACAAAAATAAACCAGATAGAGAATCAACTTGACAGCTGAACCATTCCAAGGAACTTGAGGAAAATAAGGTGTTACTTTTAAAACAGGATTTTTTGAAATACATGTAGAAAATATATCAATAATATAAACTGTAGAAAAGGCTAATGATGTATTTAAAAAGTCATTGGTTCCATCTCGCCGTCCTGATAAAGTAAAAATTATTTCAATTGATTTGAATAGTTTAAAAATAATATTTATATAGTATTTTTAACCAATGTTTATTAATATTATCAATTAATTTCTAGCTTCCTGCCGAATTTAAAATTGCTGACCCAAAAACCCATTTAAAAATCAGTTGAAATTACGAAATTCACTTGCCAATTGAAACTGCTGCATGTATAACGAGATACAGTAAAATTAATAGAAAATATCAATGGAAACAGCTCGTAAAATTATATTTGAATGAAATTTATGGAAAAAATTAAAAAAATATAGAGCACTAGGAATAGGTGGCTTCCATCCCGGGATTGATCCGGACTTATATGGAGAACTTTTTGATAAGTAGTATTTGTCAAAATTTTTATTTGCATTGAGCAACAATTAGTATTATTTTCCTATAGAATGGGCTAATTCATTCATAAAGGAAGATGAAAGAATTAAAAAGAAGAATTATAATAAATCAATTAATTCATTAACTGCTAACAAAAGGAAGAAGAAAGAAGTTTCTTAAAAATAAATTCTTAACAGGAGTAACATTGATTAATTATTTATATTAAGATATAAAATTAAATTTTATCGAAATTGTTCCAAATATTTAAATTATAACAGTAAAAAAATAGAAGTTAATGTTAAAACAATTAATAATGGTCGTCTGTTAAAATGTAATTGATAATTTTAGGCCAGTACTTTACGGCCTGATCTAACTATAACGACATCGTATTACTAGTATAATTAGTAAACTCGAACTAGACTTTTCTATGTCTGGAATAGGTTTAAACTCTTTGAAAAAGGACGAAAGTGACAAGTTGAAGACTATTCCAGGTTTTCATTTATATATAAATCATTATTGTGGAGTACTGAAACAGATCTCCCAAATCTACTAGTAGATTTCAAGTTTAGTTTTTTTAAACCAGGTTTTCATTTCCCCCTCGGGATAATTCTTCTATATCCATTTGTTGAGAAAATCTCAACTTGTGAATAAACCTGACCGTTTAAGGACAGGGATGATTGTGCCGGAACAGAGCAAACGGAAGTCAGGTTTTATAAGAAATAAAGTATCTTTATTTTAAGCACTAACAGGTACACTAAATACACAGACAACTTTGTGTTACTAACTGGGAAGACTGAATGTCGCTTAAAATCACTGAATGTCTATTTTAATTATACTGAATCTGAATTGAATGTCCAAAATATGCTCAACTTGGTGTGTTCGGTATTATTGACCTCCCACACGAGCTCAGCAGCTTCTCAAGTTGAGCAAGAATGTGATTGTGCACGTGGCGTTAGCCTATCAATGCAATGCAAAATGAATCTTGATGGAATGTCTTGAATTGCAATAAAAAGTCTTGAAATATTACTTGATTTTAGTTTTAAAATGAAGCTTGAATGGCTCTGATAATTTACAATAGCACTAGTACTGATGATTGACTCAAACTTGTAAGATTGGTTAAGAATGAATAAGAATGGCGTGTACACGTGAACGAGAACAGTGAAAGAATGGCGACAGGAACTTCATTAGTCAAAAGGGACACTGAAAATTAGTCAAATGATTGACTAAATTAAGAATTATTGATTGTTTGGTCGATTGGTTATCGACCCAGTCCCAAGATGGCCGCCGAAGTTCCTGTCAGCTGGCAAATTTAAACTGAGAATTAATTAATTCTCAACACTATTAATTCTTTTTTACTACGCATTCGGAGGAAATGCCTATTTATCCTACGGGTTTTCGGTCGGTGAATTGTTGATTTCCCACGGTTGGCTGTCAGCCTCAACATTACACACGGCAAATGCCTCCTGCGCCATCTATACGTGTTAAAACTGCATAAAAACACTCAAGCACTTCTATCCAGCAATTCAAAGGACCTTTAAATGTAGGTATCTTTATTGTTTTATTCGTACGGATTATGTCGTCAAATTGAAAATCATTTTACCTTCTCATAGAGGGTACATATTTTGAAATATTGTAAAATATATGTGTGTCCATCTATAGATGGATTAACTAACGACAGTTTGTTAGTTAACGACGATTAGATTGTTTATAGCAACGAGGGGAGAGTTTGTTTATCTCCAGATTTTGACTGAGACTAGCTAACATTAGACGTCTTGTCTTTGATTCTGTATTTGAATCCGTCATTTTTAATAAACTAACTTTTAATGATAGTTATTCTCATTCTATTATTTCACAATAATATTTTAAAAAATATTGCTGAAATAAAATGTTAGATAAAATTTAACAAATTTTTCTTGAAAATAGAAGTAATGGAAAGTTTATATTTGTTTAGGTTCCACGATGAGCAATTTTAGGCAAAAAACCTTTTCATTTTATTGTTTTATAATTTTAAACTAAGCATTTACCGATAATAAGTTTAAAAATTTTTTCTATTTACTTTCTTCTATGATCATCATATCTAAAATGAAATGTTCAACTCACTACCTGAAAATGTCCCCCCACTATTCTTCTACATTATTTTAATGTCTTTTCAAACACAAATTTGTTGTTAAACAATTGAAGAGATAGTTTTTTGACATTCTTTGTAGAGAACATTTCAATTCTATTGCAGTGAAAAAAAGTGAGAAGTTCCAAAAACAAAGTGTGAGTGTGATTGTTGTCAATCATGAATGAATCGAACATTATACCGGACAGCAATTTAACAAGTGGAGAAGAAGAAATACCTACGGATATTGTTCAACGAGCTAACGAAATACGGAGTAATTTATTACTGGTAAACTCGAAAAAAAAATATGAGCAAACATATGAGAAGTTCATGACTTGGCAATCGGAGAATAGGATCAATTCTTTTGCAGAGATAGTTTTTATAGCATATTTTAGTTTGCTATTAGAAACCATGAAATCATCAAGTTTGTGGGCGATATATTCTATGTTGCGAAGTGTTGTGAATATGAAACATTCCATAAATATCCATAATTACTCAGGCTTAATTGCATTTTCGAAACAAAACCATAACGGATACGTCGCTAAAAAATCGAAAGTTTTGAGCGCCGAAAAAATAGAAAATTTCATTATTATTACGTCAGCTCCAGACAATGAATTTTTTGCAATGAAAGTGAGTAATTTTTATTAAGTGACAATAAAAAAATATAAATTATGCAATTTATTAATTCGTTAATTGATCAACAGGTTGCTTTAATTTTTGGAGTCACCGGCGCATGAAGACAATAAGAACTGTGCGACATTACAATTGAGAATATTGTGGATGAAAGTGATATGATCTTGGTGAATGTACCGGTCACCAAGAACGACAAGCCAAGATCATTTCTTGTGCAGGAATCTTTCTATGATATTATAAAATATTTGTATGTTGCCATCTAATGACTATTAGATTAATGACAGTTTGTTAGTTAACGACGATTGCTTAACGATTAGATTGTTTGTAGCAATGAAGGGAGAGTTTTTTTAAAACAATCAATCAATTTTTAATGAACATTTTTCTTTATTTATTGATTTTCCGAAGTTGTTATTTGCTCTTATTTTACATTGGTGTCAGAAAGTGGTTCGTTTCGCGTGTCGTGAATATTTTTGTTAGGGACTTTTGAAAAACATTTTTAAAAAAAATCATGCCGAAGAGTCCAAATCGGAGACAAACTCGAGCTAGAAGGAGAACTCAATATGCCGATTGTGTCGAAGACGGTTCTACTGGAGGACTTCTAGTTTTAGAGATGAGATTAAATCAGTTGGAAGAAAGACTAGATCGAGATCAGATTCGTTTGGAGGAACGTTTCGAGAAAGGTTGAAGAGAAACTCAAGATTTATTTCGAGAGATAATAATTAATAATAATAATAAGTCCGTACAGCCAGTTTTTCTTCCTCACAGGTGGTGGCCTTCTGGACGTGAGGAACGAAACTATCCATCATGGTTCCGTTAAACATTACCACTTTTGCAGTGGGTTAACCACCCCTGCAAAGAACATTAACAGGTTCCTCAAAATATACCTGCAACAGCCTCCCACAACCGGCCCTCTTTGGATGAGAGCCATGGAACAGTTGGGAGGGGCCTTACGATACGTTCCAATTTATACGACCACGGACAACCCCTACAGCGTCTCAGGTGGACAGAGGAACTGAGACGGGATTTAATGCAGTGTTGGAAAAGATGCGAGCCACAGACCTTAAGCTATGCCAGGCACCTGCATACTCTGTGGTGCGAAATGCACCCAGAGCAGGGTTCGGCATTAATATTTTTTTTTGTAGTATTATAGGGCAAAATTATCAATTACTTCTGTAATGGATAATTTAGAAAAAAAAAATATCAATTATTGAATAATCATTAATATCGAAAATAAAATTATCAATTACAGTATTAATTGATAATTTTATTTTTAAAATTATCAATTGATAATGTAATTTGTAATTTAATGGATCCAATTACAAATTAATAAAGTAATTTGTAATTTCGTAGATCCAATTACAAATTAACGGAGTAATTTGTAATTTTATAGATCAAATTACAAATTACTTTTGTAATTGATAATATTTTTGGTGAAATTACAAATTACAGGAGTAATTTGAAATTTTTTTTGCCAAATTACTAAATACAAAAGTAATTTGTAATTTAATAATTTAAATTTCTAAATTAATAATTAGTAATTTTACTAAGAATTAATTAAAATTTTTATTTATTTTGTGATGAAAGCATCACGTTCTCATAATAAGACAAAAAAAATGTTTTAATATGTATATCAACGATGCAACTTATGGTTCAATAATAAATTATGTGCTTTAAAGTTCACACATATATTTTGACCATAACACATGTGTTTATAACAACTTATTTATGTTTTAATGTTCGTCAAGATGTTTTAACGTTGAATCATA